TTACGTACGTACAACACTCCGTCATGCAGCATCAGATGGCTTCAGCACCCAATACAAAGAATCACTGCCAATGGCCTTTGCTGATTCCTACGGAAGTGAAAAACTCTTGATAAGACGTACGTAATATATTTGCCGTGCCACTTAGGTACTTAGTGGAACAATTAATGATGGTAGCTATAGCAAGTGACATAATTTTAGTGGTACTTTGTACATGCCCCTATCATCCCCTCGGAGAACAATCTTTAGAGGCATACACAGACAATTTTAGAGTCTGCTGGAACTCTAAGATATTGCGGTGCTACTGAAAGACGTCTGCTGCCTTACCAGCGGTACCCGTTTTTCGGTTGTAAGCCACACTTGTCTCTGATCCGCAGACTTTTATGAATTACTCCTTCGCATGTGAATAAATGTGGTAGACATACATTTGAAAATAGCAGACAGTAGAAAATCGACAGCAGACCGATTTTCTACGTATCCTGCCTGGCAAGAGTTTAAACAAAGCGATAGAGCTTGGAGGGCAAGCAGATATATGAGGAGTACTCTTTCATTTAGCCCTCAAATTAGAGACGATCGTTTGGTCTCAAAACTGTCAGTTAAATATACATTTGCCCACTGTTTTGTTTGTGACACCATTCAGCGGACTCAGCCGCACTTCCTAGGCGACAAGATAGCAAATAACAGAGGTATGTGAATCGCGGTAAATGCATCCACTACTTCCACCCTCGTCACCACAAGACCGAAGGGCTCGAACAGGTTACTAACACCGACACTGAAACGCCATTCCTCACACATTCCCTGACTATAAAAAATTGGAGACGATCCCGTCGCGAGAGAAGTCGTGGCTTGGAAGGTTATCAATGGACGACATAAGTGATATGTTTTTGAATAAGCATGAGGCTCTACTGCCCCCTCGTTAGTGTGGCCTTTGCGACCATGCTTTCCAATAATCAGTCTGCTACCCGCTCTTTGAAGACCAACTTACGGAGAAAACATGTGTATAGCAAGCGCAAACAGCGTGCCTACGGTTCTTGCCATTTGTGTTGGCTGAGAATTGGCTGTGAGAATTGATAACCCAAGTGCAGTTTTGGCCTGCTGAGGTGCTTTGTTTCAAACATGGAAATCCAGTAGCAATTTAATTGACCGTTTTTTTCACTTGACTACCAAAAGTGTTTAGTTAAATAGTAGATTGTATCCTACGCTATGCAGTCATGGAGGATACTATCGATGTAGTGTCTCATGCTTCGACAGTTCGGCCGTGATATTCGACGAGGTTCACCGTGTGCACCACAGCAAGACTGCGACCTGCACGTGAATTAGATTACAGTGAAAGTAGACTTTCGTTGCATCTAACACACCAACCCGGTGTCATGATCAAGTCACGAATACCGGAGGCAGGAGACGATACAGGTAGCTGTCGCGACCGGAGCTGCCCCTAAGCCTGCCGCTATACCCAGTTTTGTCCCACGGTGTGGGAATGACGTAAGTGCCGATTTTATAAACTCGACCCCTCGACAGAGCTTTAAAAGATTCGTTCTAGGCCAACTTGGGCTTC